TGTCAGTTCGACTATTACTTAGTCCAAAATTTCCCACTATATGTGTGTGTGTGTGGGTGTTTTGGGCACTCGAAGTTAATTACCCGCCCTCATAAGTATGCTACAGTGCACTGCCAAATCCGGAGTAAGCTCGAAAATCAAAGCTTCAACACGATTGTCTAAGCACTTGAAGCACAGGCTGTCGCATACAAAAACACTTGCCAACAGACATCCCGCATCCGCAACACCAAGAGACCGCCAACCACTTCCTCTTTCCCACTACAAATCATTTCAGGCAATTGGCTTAGCATACCCTGTAATCTTCCGGTATAGCTTACTAATGAGAAATTCTAATAATTTCCTTTAGGGGAATATTATATTCACACAGGAAATGAATTAAATCTTAGCTTTTTGATGTGTTCTTTTTCTTAATGCGGTACAGGGTAACGGCAGTTCGAGCATTGCCGTCGCCTTTTTGCAGTCCTTTGTTTCGAATTTTTTTTTGTATTTCATTGGAGCCTTTAGTAACTTGACTTTCAGTTTTTTTCCCCTTTCTTACGTGTTTCGAGTGCTTTGCCTTGAAGTGCGGAAGAAATTGAAGTTTTCTTTCTCTAGCTCGTTCCCATTTTCCATTTTCCATTTAGCAATTTATTTATTTTTTTGTGCTAGCTCAGAAACTGTAAATGAGTTTCGGCTGGCTGTAAACTTATCTTTGGCTTTGTTTTCAATTGGCATTGCTATTCGTATTTATTTATGCGCCTCACGCGCTTCTCCATGCCCTCTCGGAATTCGTGGCGCTTGCCATGGGTCCGGCATTCAAATTGGCCTGCAGAGCTGGCGGGGCCAAAAGTTTTAATAAGTTGCTCATTAGCAGAGAAAATGAGGCAGCCCAAACAAAATAATTTACACGCCCAACATCCGTTGCAATTAAACTTGACGCAACTTAAATTTCATGTCTTAGAGAGTGCAGGATATGCGCCCCAAACCCAAGACCCCAACGCATCCTTTCAGCCCGGACCAGCTGGGCCGCATTCCGGCAGGCGGAACATGCGGAGCAGGCCAAGTTAACGGCGTGCTGTAAATGTAGATGTCAACGGATGTTAGGCAAACGCCCGGCAAAAGATGCCACGGCCTCAAAGTTTGCCGCGAGTATTTTCTAAATTTAATGAGTTGTATTACGGGCAAACTTTAAGCGGCGTAACTATTTCCCCACACATACCCCATGCCCTACCCCCATACAAACCAACCCCTAACAAAGCAGAAGCCCAAGCAACTTGGGGCGTGTTGTTGAGCGTAACTTTATATGGCAAACTTTTCATGTGTCTCGGATGCAGCTCCCCTTGTCCCGAGTCCTGATCCCGCTGCGGCGTCGCTAGTAATGCAGAAATTAAAGTTCTTTGCCAAAGTACAAGCGCCGCCAAAAGTTTTTGTACTACTCGCAGTTGACATGCTGAGGCGCCGGATATGCGTAGCTACAAATTTGATATGTTAGACAAGTGATGCGGCGAAAACGGCTGCACAGTGGGCCATATATCTGACAGATGGTAGCAAAATTTAAACTGTCTATATTTTGGATGATGGTAAATAATTTTAAATGTATATGCAGGTATTCTTTGCCTGACACTTAACATTTTGCTTGTTCATAGAATTGACGTGTTATTTTTATCAAAATAAAAGATTTAGTAGCTGCAAAAAAAAAAAACAAAAATAAACATACGAAATAAAAGAAAAACATTATAAATATAAATAAATTTCGACCACGCTGCTTATATCTATTTGTATTATATTTTCTTATAAAGGCGTAAGGATTTATTTTTTCCTAAATATATACTGATTGCGTTGCGCTAAGAATGATATATATTATCATTAGAGTGTATAAAGTAAACTAAAGTTTTACATAGCACAGGCTACTGTGATTTTTAGCCATCGTAGTAATTAATCTTTCTCTAGGTATTTGAACCCATGACATCCTCGTCGAGTGACCCTTTTGACTGGGTATGGGTAGATAATCTGTGACATAGAAAATCTCTTGCCTTTATCCCAAGTGCAAAAATGATTCAATCGCTTATCTAAGATGAACACATATCACACTGTTGTATCATATCGTATTCCACACAGCGCTTATCCACTGTGGTCCAGTGCACATACACAAACACACACACACACACACACACACACACACATATGTGTGCATGTAGGTATTCATGTATGGTTATTTGTGTGTACTTGAACATGTATCGTCCTCGGTGGGTTGCCGTGTAAAAGATTAAGCACATTTATGTCACAGAGCTGAAGTCGCGGACGCAGACGCTGCGCCACGCATGTGCCACAATTTTAAAGTAGCGTTAATGAAATTTGAGCTGCAGGCAACAGAGTTGCATACATATGCAATACACACTCTATATACGTATATACAAATATGTGTGTATATGTGCAGGGGTTAGACGAAGCAGTCCAAAGTTATGCGAATGAGCATAAGGATGAACAGCGTCTAAGGAGCACGCTCTACGCTGTTGGCATTAAAGCGGCACTAAAGCGGCTGACAGGATAAGCCAGGAGCAACTAAACTTTATAAAGCAGATCCCTGGCTCAGCAGATAGCTGTTTAGACAAGTTGAGAGTTATAGCTTTTGTAAGTAGTACTAGTTCAAATCGTACGAACTAAGACATAAACCGTAAAAAGTTCAGTATAAAAGGCAACACTTTGTACCCATCTTCAATGGGAGTTAATCAAGCTTGAGCAAAGCTTAAGTTTCAGAACTTAGAATTAACAAAAGTGAGGTTAGAGTTGGTGAAATGTGATATAGCATAATTTGTACAAATTTTCATTTCTTCTTAAAGGTATTCCAAGTCAACTTTTTGTATGGTTCTCGACATAAGCAGGAAATGGAACAAAAAAGGTAAGTCAAGTTTGTCTTTACAAAGTTTAGACACTTAAATGACTTATTACTATTTCCATTTAATTTTCCCTATACAACATATTAAATCTATTTCAACCAGCTCTAAGCAGAGTGCGACGCAAGTGAGGCTAGAGTAGATGCACGTAAGCTTAAGCTCAAGGCTTAAATGAAATTTCAGGCTATCTAAAAGCGATTCAAAGTTGAAATTCCAACACGAATTACTCTTGAAAACAGTAAAAACAATAATCTGGTCTGAAGTGTGGAAGCAGCATGCAAAATTTAAAAGGTGGGTTAGGTTTACTAAATTTAAGGCTGCTTCAAAATGATTTAAATTTTTATTACTATTCCCATTAAACATATTTATCTTGAGGGCCTTGAACGTGAGGTTGGAGTTGAAGTACTAGGGCTTAAGTCTGCTTTTGTGCGATTCAAAGTTGAAATTCTCATTAGGCAGCCACAAGTTGTTGCTGTGTTTTGTATTCTCTGCAAAGTCCCAGTCACGCTTCGATTCACACAAGTCAGCCAGAGACTAAATGCGCTCCAGACCTCCTGCCCGGCAGCAGCTTAAAAGTTGGCGCTCGCGCGCTTTGTAACTTATGCCAAGCGAATGCCAAGTTCCTCCAGCGTATTGCAAAATAGCTCATCAATAACCCATTTGCCGATACGCTAGGCCCATGAAAAGGCTGAGCATAGGTCAGAGCGGGCAGGGCAGAGCAGGCCTGACCTCCGCTGGGAGCTCGTACCCCAGCCGGCTGGAGTTGGGTTAGCTTGGCAAATGCGCTGCTCGAATGTTCATCGAACGGAAACGACGCTTGCGAATGCGAATAAGGCTGCCAAAAAGGAAAGCTATCTCCAGCCTGCGTATATTCACATTTATTCAAAGCGTATTCATACTTTAATAGTGCTGGGAATTTGAGCAGCTAGCGTAAATCAGGCGCGGAATGAAATGCCAAAGCGTCTGTTCAAAAATGTTCGCAACCAATCAGGGAATCAGCGGGAATTATTTTCCAATGCTCCTTGTTTCAATTATTGGTAATGACAGCCAGCTCCTAGCGCCTGCCACCCCAGTTTTTCATTTAAAGCGGCGAATATGGCTGCTTTGGAGCTGCATGCAACATGTTAAGCAGCCCAAATGAAATGAAAATTTAATAAAATAAAAATATACGACTCCTTGCGCCACAGCAAACCAAGCGCGAACACTCGCAAATTGAGGGGGGCCTGGGAGTGAGGCAAAGTCGGAGACGTTTGCTTAAATGAAGATGTATGCCAGCCGGGCGTATGAGTAATATGCGCAAATATGCGCATAAAATAAAGCAACTTGTAGCAATTTCCCTTCAGTCAGCGACCGTGCCCCTGCCTCTGCAATCTCCCCTCCCCCCCCGACACACACACTTCCTTTCAACTGGCTGCCTTGCCACTTTGGCGGCGCTGCCTTCTTGTGTTTAATTTAGCCAGCCATAAACGTAATGCGGCGCCTGAAGTATGGGCTCCCCGAATTTATATGGCGCCACATAAAAGCCGCCTCTGCAACCCCGCTCCCCACTGCTGGTCTCTCGCACTCGTATTTCATTGCCAACAGTGCCTAGCATAAAATCATTTTATTTAAGGATGCTTTAAAACAGCAGCAGATTGTTTAATATAACCCAGCACTGTGGCAGCTCGGGAAACTGCGGCAACTGGCGACTGACAATGACAATTTAATTGAATTTTCTATTATTTTAGCATAAAGCAGCGAAATATGGTTAAGTCAGGTGGTTATTCTTTGTGTTTGCAAATCCCATCTATAAATGAACTAGAGAACACAGTTTGCCCAATTGAAAACATCTTGAACGATGGCATATCAAGTCGGTTGTTGATCCTGATCTAAAATATTTAAATTTTAAGTGTCGGAGATGTATCACTTCTTTATGCATTAGACATTGTAGATTTGTAATATACTTTTCAAATTTTATAATTACAATATAAGAGTCCAGTCCAGCCAACCAAAAAATAAAAAATATATATAGTTCTGTTAAGCTGTAAAAATATTATGCAATATGTTTATTATCTGTAATTTATTTCTCGAATTTACCCCGAGCTTTTGATTTAATTTCAATTTAAAAAATAAAAATGATAATAAGAATTGTTAAATGTATTCTTAAATTCTTTATTAGCATACTTATTTCAATGGGCTTCACAAGCACATATGGTTTCCATTTACTGTTGACATTTTTTTCATGCATTGTATGTAAAGTATTAAAGCAGCCCCCCGAGAGCGTAGGCCTGTACGCTGTATTGTCCCAGACTGATTTTCAATTCTGTTCAGCTCTGGCCCATTGTGTCTCTCATATCAAAGGCATGCTGCCAAGTCGGTGAATAACGTCGCCATTCCGCGAATCCGTTGGCTGCCAGCACGTTAACATATCTGCGATACCATCCATCAAATATCACAAGTTGCTGGCGTGCCTGTGTGTGTGCGTGTGTGTGTGTGTGTGTGTGTGTGTGTACGTACTTGTATGCGGGTCGACTGACTCCGGCTGCCTTCTGTCAAGCCGTCAAATTTGCAAGGACCACCATTCCCGTTTGCCAATGTGGCCTTGCGGGAGCTCTGCTGGATTGTATCAAGATATTTTAAAGGCAGGCAGTTTTATGATACACAGGGCTTTATCTTCCACATAAAATTTAAGTTATTTTGTTGTCTAGTTCATTGAATTAGCTCGGCGCACAGAAACACACACACACATACACACATACACACACACAAAAACACGAGCACACACACACATGGACATTAAATAAATTGAATTAAATTGATGCGCTGGGAAATTGAGCAGCTTTTCTTGCTTTTTGAAACTGCAAAGGAAATTGCTTTTAATTTTGGCACAAATCTCTTTTTAATTTTTTTTATTTCTTTTAGTTTATTTATTTTTTTTTTGGCATGACAAAATGAGAGCATAGCACAGCTGGCTGGGTTCAGACAAATCTTGTTTGGCATCAAAATTTGGTGCCAGGCAAAAATCTCAGCCGGAGCCAAAAATGTTGTTGACAGCATATGTGCTATCGAAATTTCACACACACACACACACATATATATATATATATAACTTACACACGCATACAAGCAGAGAGCTAATCAAGCGCCAGCTGGGCGCCCCATCAAATTGTTGTCTATGCCACACAGCAGGGCTGCAAAAAAGAGTATAGCATACTCTGCAGCGCCAGTCGGTAACAATTTTGGCATGCGGTCTGGCCAAATGCTAAATAGATGCTGCAATAATTAACTGCATTAAGCCAGCGACAGCAGCAGTAGGAGCTGGAGCTACCCAGCTGCAGGCAGCTGAGTCCTTGCGAACGTCCTTTTGCCTGCAGCTTAACATGGCCTTAACGCAATTTGTCACAGCAGCCGAGCGCAGGCGGCGCCTCACGACAAGCCCGGCAGCTTAGCCAAAGGCGCCTCCCCCTCAAAAAAAAAGTGGAAGAAAAGTGGCATGCTTTATTTATGTATATCCTTCGTACATTGTCTAAGTACAACAACAGCTACCATGGCACATTGAGCCGACAGGTGAAATGAAATTGTGTGTGCACACAAACACACCTACACTCACACACAGTCCCTACTCAAGCTCAACATTCATTTGAGATGCAAACGGCATGAAAATAAGAAAAATTCACCCAGCATTGACAGCTACAAGTTTCAGTTTTGCCATTTAACTGAACTCTTTTTTGTTTATTTTTGTATGCAAAATGCCAAAAAATTTGTTTCTTAAACAACGCACAACATACATAAATGGGCGTGGCATGGGAGTGGTAGCTTAGCAGTGCTCGCACTTTGCACCAAACTCAGCTGAAAGAGTGGATTTTCTGTGTGTGTGTGTGTGCGTGTTTTGTGTCCTTTTAACTGCAAGTGCAGGTGTTAGTGAAAAGTGTATGTTGTTCTGCTTCATTTTTTTTTTTGGGTGGCTGTTGGGGCCAGGCCTCCCCAGTAATCCATTGGGGTGCAAAGCAGCACGAGCACTGATGGAAAAGTACTTGCATCAAGCCTCGTTGGTCAGAGACATGTTTTCACGCCCCACTCGACTAGGCCACAGACTTCTCATGTGATGATGAATTATGTGCGGCTGGGCAAAACGTTTCAATTTTCATTCAGACTTGTCTAACTGCGAAATTGCTGCTAGAACAATAACATAGGAATATTTTGAAGACCCTTGTTGAAAATAACTTCAAACGGTTTTGGGGTTTCCTTTTTGGTATTTCCTTTTAATTTATTTGCGTTTTAGCTTTACTTGCAAAATGATGCTTTATAATTATTTTTAATTTTCTCCATCTATACAATATTTTAAAATAAAATGTGTTTCTCTGAGGTTGCGTTTTTGGTAAAAAGGAGAATGCTTTAATTTTTGGCGGCAGTCTTAACCGAAAATTCATCTGATGCGTGAGATTTAAGATTTTTTGGGTGCAGTCTTAAGTTTTGTCCGATTGGCATAATACTTATTTGTGCAGAACTTTGTCAATTTTCTTTGAGATTGTTTCGCAATCTCATCCGCTCTTGGATGTTACGTGGCATAAGACTATTATTGTATTTTCACAAAAATAACGATAGACTTTAAATATATTTTCAAATATTATTGATATATTTCAATACTTGGCTCAAATCTGGTTTTATGATACTTTTAAATTTAAAGTCTTAATTAAAAAGATTGAATCTAAAAAATTGCAATAAAATGTAAGAAATTTTAATCGTTTTCCTCAAAAAATCTTAAATATGCGATTAAATAAGAATCGAAAGTAAAATGAATTTATTAAAAATATATTTTCCGCTTAATTTTAAGTTAGAGTTATTTTCTTGTCAAGGCTTAACATTTTTTTACTTGTGCGCCACCGAATTCAAGCCAATTCTTGTTTTTTTGTAAGCTAGTTACATATTTTAAGTGCATTTTTGGCGCATGCAATTTCCCATTTTGGTTTGTGCATTTTCTTTTGAATTATTAAGTTGCTGTCTACAGTCTGCCGTTGGGCTGCAGCTGTGGTCTTATCGTGCCACCCAATCATAAAAGTTGCCACTCAGCAGTTCAGTAATCGCTATCTATTTAAGATTTTGTGAACGCCACAGCTAAAATTACGCATACGCAGCGTGGCGTAGAGCTGGGGCGTAGTAAATCGCCTTAGCCGCTGCTTCTGCTGCTGCTGGGCTGCTGGTGTTGGTGTTGTTGTTGGTGGGCTTTAAGCCCTAATAAACTAGCTGAAATGCATAGTTAAGCCTTTTGGCTACCATGGTGCAGGGACACGCCCAGCAGCACGTCAAGGCTGTAGGCGTGACTTAAACTTTGTCGGGCATTTAAATAAGTGGCGTCGTGTATAAATCTAAAAGTGCTCCTACTTATCGGCGTCGCCTGGCTTTTGGCCTGGTCTGGAGTCGGCCAATGAGTCAGTGTTGAAAAAGAAGCCAAAAGGGTCGCAGGCAGAGCGATGCTGCCATTTTGACTGCTTCTATCTCTTATTTTTTGCTCTCGCTGTTTGTTGTTGCTGCTGCTACTGCCACTGCTGCTGCTGCTGCTTCTTCTTGCTATAAATCATGATAATAAATTCCAATTTTATTTAGTCAGTGAGGCGGCAAAGCACCCTTGTCATCGTCAACGCTTGGCAGCAGGGCCACCGGGCCGGGGACCGAAGGGGGCTGCAGCTCCAAAAAAGGGCAAACGCTTCATCTGGTTGGGCAAAAGGGCTTCGAGTCCATTGCTTCAACTACTTGGATTAACGGTTTATTTTTATGACTTTTTATTTTATATTTTTTTTGTCTTCTTCTTTTTTGTATATGCAACGTTTTGACTGCTTTTGTTGGAGCATGCGAGAGCATTCGAATAAATTCACTCTTGAATTGAGTTTTTGTCGCTGGCGCCTGTTTAACTTTTGCCAGACATAATCAGGCCTGATTGTAATGAATGCGAACAGTCGGGCCAATCATCAAAAAAAAAAAAGGCAGCTCATCAGACCGAAGTTGTCGGGTCCTAGCGAGGGGGGGGAGGGGGTAACGGACTTGGGGTCCTAACCGCTTTCTACCCGTTGGTTGCCTGGCAGCATTGCGGTTGTCTGAGCAGCGGCGGCCAAAATACATTAGCCGTGTGCTCGAAATGTTGCACAGCTCACGCAGCGTGACATACACACATACACACACATACACACGCATGCATGCATGCATTGAGTCCTCGCTGAGGGATTTCAAGCGAGCTGCAGGACATGTGGCAGCCAACAGTTTGTAACTTCAACTCTCTCTCTCTACTTTTACGCTAGTGTACGCTGGCTCTTCATTGCCTGTTGGCAATTACAACGTTGCAATGTTGATGGCAATTTTTTCCCCATTTTTTATTTAGTTTTTTTTTTTTGCATAAGAATATGTGACAGAAATGAACTGTGCTGTGAGTAAGGCACTAAAAGATACCCGCACTTGGCTTAAAAGTGACTTGAAACTCGGATTGTTGCTGCCTTTTGGCCGCAACCGCTAAAAGCTAACTTAATTAATTGTGTAAAGAATTTTGAGGTTAAATGTACTACTTTAATGTATGTTTTTAACACATTTAATTAATATCGTATTAAGGTAATAATTAGGTTGTGCTTGCCTAAAAAAACAGCGAATCTTAGCTTGAACTGAATGAATTTATAAGTCTATTTAAATGTCTCTAAACGTCTCTTAAAACATTTTTACCAAGTGGATTGACTCAACTCTTATTTTTCAAATGTGTATATGTCTTCGGTTTTTTTTTAACAAATATGTGACTAAAGCTAGGTACAATGTATAGGAATGGTATGACCGATTGCCTGCGACTGGAGCGGGTATAACAATGCTCGCACACAGCACGACGCTCCAAGCGACATACATATACACACACTTAAGCACACACATATACGCAAACACAGACATACATACACACTGTATCTGACAGGGGCGACAGTCAAAGAGCTGGACAGGAAGACAGACAGATGGGCCAGTCACTTCCGCTTGCAGGCGAGGGCTGTCCATTTTATAATACCCTTTTTTGTTTGAGCTCTCACGGCTTTTGTTGCCGAGGCAGTTGCTTGATTTGCATTTGCATTTGAGCCTTGTGCCCGGACCCTGGCAAGCAGCAACCAGTAACCAGCAACCAGCAACCAGCAAGCAGCTACAGCATAATTATGGGCGATGAAAGGACGAAGGACTTTGGCCAACTAGTCTGTTATGCATGCGCTGGGTCACTAATGTTGGCACATGATGATTTCTTTCATGCGCAAACTTGGCAAAGACTCTTTGGCAATCAGAGAAGAGAAAGCGCCGCCGACACTGATAAACTCTGAAAAGTAATGAAGCCTTTAAGCTGCTCTGCCACAAACTTTACGATAGTTTTGGCTTGTTTACTTCGTAATAGGCACTTTTGTGCACAAAGTGCAAACAATTAAACGCAAGTGCTTTATAGTATGCCGAATTCCAGTTCTTTCAACTATTTAATGGGCAAGTCAAAGGACCTCTACCAGACATCAATATATATAAAAGTATTTTTCCCAGTATTTGTAATTGAAGTGAAGCTCTTCATATTTGAAAAGAAAATGCCTTAAGCTCCTTACCGCAATGTGGCAACTGCAAAAACTCTTATAGTATGTGCCATATGTCAAATTCGATCAATATTCTATAAGCATGTTCGCATTATTTAACTTTTCACTAATGACATTTTTGGGAAGTGAGAATGTTATATGAAATGTTAATTTTTAAGCCGACTTTTAAAAAAATATACATACATAATCTAAATCATTTTTCAAGTTTATTTAAATTCTTAACAAATAGTTAGATTTCTTTGGTGTAAAGTTCTACAATTTCGTGAGGGCACAGTTTGTCTAGGACTTTCAGTTTATTAGTCGGCATATATATGTGGACAAGGTATTGCGTAGTCGGTGGCATTCAACTGGAGCATTGCAATGTGTTATTTTTGTAAAGTATATTAAATTGAAATATATATAATTTTATTATACTGAAGTGGAAAAGTTGTAAAATAAATGCAAGCTGCACAGTGAATACTACATAAT